TGTTTATGAACATGGCTGCAAATGCGTACCAAGGACAACATTCTCCAGATAACCAAGGAGATGATAGCAGTACCGAGGGATTTGATGAACCAGGAATAAGGATTGGGGGTAACATCAATTTCAATTTCGGAGAACAAATGCCCGAGGAACTAAGCGGAGCTTTGAGATCGGTGATGGAAATGTTTTCCGGAACAACAGCATCTCAGGGAAATTCACAAGATACTTCAAATGAAAGACCAAGGCCGAACTAAACAATTGGAACATGTTGGAACTGTATAAATAGTCTCGACACCTTTTTGTATCATTGCTATGGTTTTGTTTATTTTATAGAAAATTTCTTTCAACTTTCTCCATCCTCAGAATGTTTAGACGGCATCACAACCTTAACAAATGATGACTAAAAGGGTAGTTTGTCAAATTCACATGCTTAGTAAAATCCCCATCCATTTGCCGACAATGGCTATTTTGGTACATTGGAAGTACTACAAAATTTAGATATGTAAGTTGGAGTGCTGTGTTTTTCTAAAAGTGCTACACAGTGCGAGACAATAAATGTTGATGCATGATGTGCATTAATGCGTTATGCTACATGCATTAATGGTCAGTAATCACTTACGTACACATGAATTAAAAATCACTTATATGCACATAAAAGAACGGCTACGAAACCTTAACATCCTTTTCTAAATTAATTAATGACAGGATTGGTTCACCTACTAATTTGTGGCCTAGTATCACCATCCTGGTCCTTATCCTCATCTTTCACGTCGTGCCACGCGGTTAGACCAACTATGTAAATATAAGCCACAAAAATCATTCACTCAAATCAAATGTAACAACTTCATTCCTTAAGAGAGGTCAGGGGTTCGATCCCTGCTCTCGTATGGAGTCACCACTTTGGCCAGCACTTTACTCCTTACGGGCCGACCCGGTGTGAACGGGGATTAGTCTGGGTTGTGGTTAAGGCTTAAAGGTGCCATCCATAGTTGGAGCCCATCCAGGACCACCTCGTGGTTCAGACCAAAAAAAAAAAAAAAAAAATCAAATGTAACAACTTCTTTGTTTTATTTGATAGTAAAATTGAAGACAAAAAGAGTCTAAACCCATTTGGGCCGCAAGCACCATATCCACCGTTGTTCAATACCCACATCGTACGGCCCATATGAGCCCGATTCGCGCCTTTAATTTTATTATTAAAATAAATAAATAAATAAACAAACTCCAAAACTCAAACCACTTCAGACTCTGTCTTTCTGTCAGTCTGAGACTCCAAGTTCCTTCTTCTCGATCTCTCCGCTCGGCTTTTTGCTCACCCTCTCTCTCTCTCTCTCTCTCTCTCTCTCTCTATCTCTGTGCTATTAAACGCTTCGTTTCAATCTCATCACTCGCCATGACATTTTGCGAGCCTTTTGCTTCTGATTCATTGCTTGCATTCTCGCAATGCTGATGAGCTTAAGTTGAATTCGTCTTCGTTTTCGGCTTCGGTGCTTTAGCTTCAACAACAAGGTACCCAAACACACAATCAGCATCAATCTATTTTCTGAAATTCGTTTGATTTTGAATTACAATGTGCATTTTTTTTAAAAAAATTTTGAAAGCCATTTTTGTTGTACTGCTCTGTTTTCATGATTGCTTGAACATAGATAAAAGAGAGATTTATGAAAGTGAAGAATGAAAAATAACTGGGAGCTCCATTTTAAAGTCTCAAGTAATTGAATTAATCAACAATAAAATAACATTCGTCAGCTGGTTGATTGGGTAGCTGCAAAACCCTTATGCTAGCTAGCTCCTAGGCCCCTCCTTAGGCATTTTGACAAGAAGTTTGCTCTGTTTTCAGATATTGAAGAATTCTTTTGTATTACCATTTCTTTCTGATTTCTAGTTTCTATTGTAATTTGGTGACAAATGTCTAAAACAGTAAAAAATTATCCTCCACACTTATTCTTAAGGGGGAAGAAGTGCTAGCTACCACTATATATTTTTATAGACAGTACTTAATTAATTATTATTTTGTATGAGTGAGAGACATAACTTCAGATTCTGAAATTTGCAATTGATTGGATATTGTTCCATTTTCAGGATTGAATTTAGTACATTCTTCTGGGAATATACAGCCTTTGAAAGATGGGTCTCTACCTTGTTGGTGCCCTTGTTCCTCTTGTACTAACTCTTATACTTCAGAAATCTAAGAAAGCAACAAAACGGGGTTTGCCTGTTAATGTTGGTGGGGAACCTGGGTTTACAATCCGAAACCGTCGGTTTACTTCCCCAGTGGAAACATTATGGGAAGGTATTTCAACTCTTGCTGAACTTTTTGAGCAGTCATCAAAGCGGTTCCAAGATAGACGCTTTCTTGGAACCCGGGCATTGATTGCAAGGGAGGTTGAAATATCAAAGGATGGAAGATCCTTTGAGAAGCTTCATTTGGGAGACTATGAATGGCTAACCTACGGGAAAGCATTTGAAGTTGTGTGCAACTTTGCTTCTGGTTTAGCCCAACTTGGGCATAAAAAGGAAGAACGAGTAGCAATCTTTGCTGACACAAGAGAAGAGTGGTTTATTGCATTGCAGGTGCGTATCTTATGTGGTCTTTGTACATAAAAATTTAATCCTTCTTTTGACATTTCATGATAATTTTTCCAGCTTACGTTCTTCTTGCGATCTTCATGTTGTTGCATGTATGATGTGATTTTTATTCATCTATTCTGTCACTAAACTAGAGTTTTAAACGGCAGTGTTTGTGAGCAATGATAAATCAATTGAGTTTCATGTTTGCATGAATGCTATGTGTTTTGGGTAGTCTAGTCCCAGTATAACAATGACACAAATTGCTGATTCCTTAATATGTTTTCTTATATCAGGGTTGTTTTAGGCGCAATGTCACTGTTGTTACCATATATGCGTCTCTTGGGGAGGAGGCTCTATGTCACTCATTAAATGATATTCTCTCTCTCTCTCTCTCTCTCTCTCTCTCTCTCTCTCATAGACTTGCTCACATTACTGTTGTTTTGCACAGTATGCTACTATTGCAGAATAGGTTCCTTTCTGTACATTTTTTTTTTGTTGATTAGAGTTCATCTATGTTCATTTGTCTTTAATAAAAAACTTTAAACAAGGTAGTAAACTCAAGAAATTTGTTTCAATTTTATATGTTGTGACTTTTGTGTAACTCATCCAAAATGTTGCAACCTAGTCCGTTTGGACGAAGGAATTGAAAATTGCATAGAATTCTTAAATGACGGAATTTAGATCTCCATCGTTTAAATTTCTGGCAATTAATAATTTATGTGTTTGGATTTATGTATGTCGAATTTTGTAAATGACAGAAATTACAGTGAAAAATGAATTCATGTTCAATAGAAATTGCGAAATGATGCCCCAATTTCCACAATTTTTTATGTGTGTCATTTAATAAGTTCCATGCTTAAGTTGCCAAACAATGGAAATATCAATTTCTCCTCTTCAATTCCCGACTTTTATCTAAATCCTGAGTTATTTTCCTCCATCCAAACGGAGGGTGAAGGGAGATGCATTTTAGATGTTAGGTTTCTTTCTCTTCAAATAAAAGAAAAAAAAAGGAAAAAAAAAATTCCTTGTGATATTGGTATGTTAGTACTAGATTAGGATTAATGTTTATCATTTGTCCTCACAGTGTTTGCTCTTAGTGCATAACCAGCATTGTTTTCATTTTATATTTCCAGACAGAAGTTACTACTGTGATATGTGGGCACAAAGAACTGAAGAAACTGCTAGATATAAGTGGACAACTAGACACAGTGAAGCGCATCATATGTATGGATGATGAGATCCCATCTAGTGCCTCATCTGTTGAAAGTAGATGGAGAATCACTTCATTCGATGTTGTTGAGAGACTTGGGCGAGAAAGCCCTGTTGAACCTGATCTACCTCTTCCTGCAGATGTTGCGGTCATTATGTATACAAGTGGAAGTACTGGGTTACCCAAGGTTTAAAGCCTCTATTATATCTTCTTGTTATTTTACATGATAGTCATTCTAATTGGTTTTAATTGTTGATTGTTTTTGAAGCTTTGTGTGACATTGGTATCAATATTGTTATTTTTTTCCTTTCACCTTCGCATCATCGACTGTTGATCTTTAATGAGTTTTAGGCTTAAAAATTACACTTGCAAAGTGCTTTTGTTACACTGTTAAAGTTTTCAAAAGACACAGATGCTTGATAGTGACAATTTTTTATGGGTGGTTTGACATTGAACTCAGGAAAAAAGACATTTATGTCTTTAACCTGACCTAGTTACATAAATCTATGAACTCAAACAAATGCCCATCAATCACATAGATGATTTTAAAGATTTTTTCAAGAAACAAGTGATCCCTTTTCTTGATGCTGGTAGATCTGAGACATATTCTTCTAGTTACATCAGATAAGCTAATCTTAGTCTTGAATCTTGTTGAAGAAAATGCATTCTCCTAGTTTTTATTAGTATGAAACTGCTGCAGTATTATAAATGTCACTAGTTTACTTTACTATACTCTTTCATTTTCATTTGATAAATATCCCATTATTAATATACCATCTTGAAATTAAAAATAGGAGACAATAATGAAAGTCTCTTTGTTGCATCCACATTTTCCGAACAAAAATATTGTATATGTATCAATATGTATGGAAATATTTTGCTCATGGGATTGCTGTTTGCTTATATGAAATACCTTGCATGGTTGTATGGAGTTAGGGTACAATGGGTGGGGAATATGATATGGGTTGGGTTCACTTAAAGTTCTTCCTTTGGATGGGTACATTGTGGGTGATTGTGATTTATGACGAATGATCATATATGTTCGATTTATGTCCTATGTGTAAACAGAATGAGCACGTGTTGCGTCACATTTCTCTACATTATCAACTTCCCTTCATATCTATGGCGATTTTTGTTTTCTACTTTATCTGTGCCCTTTGTTTTTTATTTGTTTTGGGGTGGCATCTAATGCAAGTATAGACATTTATCTTTCCAAATGTATTAAAAAGTTAGTCAACGAACACATTATTCACCTCCAGCTTCCACTTTGTACAGGGTGTAATGATGACACATGCTAATGTGCTAGCTGTAGCTTCTGCTGTCATGACTATTGTTCCTGGCCTTGGAAGCAAGGATGTTTATCTGGCATACCTTCCCCTTGCTCATATCCTTGAATTAGCAGCGGAGGTATGGGGAATATGTAAGCTGGCTATATTGCATGGCTACAGTAATTCAATGAGCATTTTTTTATAT